TATTGAAAATCAGTTGACTGTAAATGCATAGTTTGATTTTTGGGCTTTGCATCCTGCTCCATGAGTTGATGTGTCTCTTTTTACTCCAGTCCCATATTGTTTCGATCACTAAAGCTTTGTAGTATATTTTGATGTCACATAGTATAATGCTTCCAGCTTTGTTTTGTTTTGCACAGCAAAGGAAACCATTAACAGTGTGAAGAGGCAACCTACAACTTGGAAGAAAATATTAGCGTGTGGCCATGTTCATTAACCTGATGTAGTCATTCCGTGGTGTATACCTATATTCAAACAAAACAAGGTACTTCATAATATATACATTAATTATTGGTTTTCAGTGAAAAGTAAACTTTGAAAGGAAAAAGTCCTTGACTTCTCACCATGTGTCTGGCCCCGTCCTGACTGCTTGGTGTGTATGACTTCATTGGAGGCATCCTTACAATAACTGAACCTGTTTTTAAGAGGTAGGTCCTCAAATTCAGATGTGTCTAATGCCAAAGTCTGTTTCTTAGAACTATGACTCCAAGCATGGCTTTGATTGAGAGAGATTGAGATCAGCTCAAGGGTAAAGTCAGAATCAGCCTCATGGGCTGGTGTTAGGGTAGGGCAGGGCTAAGGGCTGAGTTAATATTAAGGACCAGCTGAAGGATCAAGTTAACCTCTAGGTAAGGACACTTCTAAAGGCAGAGTGAATGTCCTTCTAGGAGCTTTAGGGGTTTAGACAGAATTGATTCTCCACAAGAATAGAACATGAGGAGGACTGATGGCATCTCTTAAAAAGCCATGCTGATCTTGCAGTCTACTGCATGATATATTTGTATTTACTTTGGTATAAATATTTCCCTCCAAATCTTTGGGTAATGAGTCATGGCCTGGGGAGATGTCCTATGCCTGGAATCCACCTGGGGAAGCAGAGACATAGGGTGGATGATGGGCAGGGTGTGGCCTGGAGTGACGGTACCCATAGAATGGCTTTCCTGAGACTGAGGTTTTCCAGGGATGGGGACCTGCTGTGCTGAAACTGGAAAAGTATCGGGTAAAGCAAGCTGAGCTGGTGATGTAGTGGGAGCGAGGGTGAAACCAGAGTTAGCGAAACAGACCCCTTGTGTGTGGGTAGAACACAGTGGCAAAGAACATGAGTTTCGCTGCAAGGAAGACCCAAGTATTTTGTTCCTACAGGAGTCTGTGAGCCCCAGGCTCCTGCTCTTCTAAGTGGAGCAGCAATGGTTGATTTGATTACTGTCAGGACTCACAGGGCAAAAGATCAATAAATGCCGGCATCGTTGTTATTTGTATCCGGCTTCCTGAGGGGCTGATTGACTGAGTTCTCAGTTCAGGGAAACGATCACACCACTTTGGTGTCGATTTCCTGACCATCTGCGGAGGAAAGTGGATGTGACTATTGGCTTCTGGTCCCTGCTCTGCCACTAACTTAGGCCATTTCCTCTTCTGGGGCTTCTCCTTCCCCATCTGGACCATGCAGGTGGCCAGATGGGACAGTTGTTCTGAGAGAGCCTCAGAATCTGGGGGCTGTCTTCTTCACTCGCAGCTCTTTCCAGTATGTCATGAGGGCCCTTATGAAAGAACTCTTTGGGGAATCTCTAAGTAGGAGGGTGAGGAGCATACCCCATGATTGCTGTGTAGAACAGAAGGTGTAGAATTCTTGGAATATAACGCATACTAGGTCATTCGTAGAACTTTCTCCACCCCACTCCCAACCCCAGGCACAGAATTAGAGTTGTGAGAGCTTACCCTCCTCTTGTGTCTGAATATAGGCCCCCTGGAATCATAGGACTTAGGGATGCTCCGATTCATCAAGGGGGAACTATATTGTCCAAGACCACACAGCAGACCCAGGCTTGGGCTTTCTAGTCCAGCGATGTCACTATTCAATTCAATGCTCCCAGGGCTTCCTCACGTGCTGTTGGGTTGAGATGGTCCGAGATTCCTTTCCACTGTGTTATCCCACTATGAGTCATAAACTCCGGTGTACCTGAGTTAAGAGCCCAGGGCTGCCTGGCTGCTGTCCAGGGTACTGAAAAAGTCCAAGGGTCCAGCCCTAGCCTAGAGCATTCAAGGCTAAGGGCAGGAGAACACAATTTTTTCACCTTAAAATCTCCTCTTGACTCTTCCTAACAGACCACCATACCCATCTCCTGCTTCTTTGGAAGCTGAACAGGGCATCTTGATACCCTGGAGTCTCCAAATGCTGCATGGAGAGACTTTATGGATTTTGTTTTCTCCACTAAGGTCTGAGACTGTGCCAGTCTTAGGTTGGGGGTAGGCAGCACTGAAGCCACCAAAGCCAAGCCCTCTCCCATCTGTCTCAACATCTCCATCGGAACTCTGGTTGAAGAGGAAGGTGGGTTGGCCCCTCAAGGGGATGGAAATAACTGATTATGATGGTCACTGAAAAGGTGCTGGATAAATTAAGAAAAAAGTAATATTCTTGGGTCAGAGTGAGGCAGGAATACAAGATCCTAAATGGGCTGTCTGGACCATGATGGTCAGCCTAGAAGATGGTATATCTAGCTCAGAGGGCAGGAGAACCCAACGGGCCAGACTCTCAGCTTGAAATGAAATCATGTCAGAAAGCAGACCAGCGGCAGGAAGATGGATTTGAAAAGACTGGAAGGTAAAATACTGGATATGCTGGATGCTGTCACCTCCTTTGAATTCCATTCTGGATGGTCACAGAATACAGTTACATGCATGAGACAATGTATACATGTGGTTTCATTTAACCACTTCAGCAATGTAAGGAAGAGAATATCATCACCATTTACATATAGGTTAGAGAGCTTCAAAGGTGAGGGAATTTGCTGAAAGCCTGTCAGCTGAAAGTGACAGACTTGAGACCTGCCTTTAGCCACTCCCACCCATGGACATAGCAAACCCAGGGCTGGCCTTGTCACTGCAGTGAGTTTGTCCACTGAGCAAGCAGGGCAGGTGTAGCATGAACCAAGCTTTTCTGTACTGTCTAACTTTTGCTCAGGGGTAGGCATTTCATCAGCATGGGAGGTAGGGCAGTGCATGCTGGTGGGCATCTCCCAGTTGGCAGTGCCTCCCAGGGGCTGCAGGACAAAAGACACTGGTGCCACCACTGTCTGGGGCATCAAAGAAAATTGGCCTCTGGGTCATCCTTGCCCTCGGCAGAGGAGTCGCTGGTCATGGCTTACAGATATATTTGGAACCTCAGGTGCCTTCTCCCCATTGAGATCATGTGATTCCATGGGTACCAGTAGGAGTCACTGGTATTGAGTATCTACTTCAGTCACTCGACAAACATCCATGAGTGCCCACCAGGTACCAGGGCCACGATGGTGAGTCCTGCACAGCTGAACAACCACAGAGATGGGCCAGCCTGACTCTCTTCTTGGCATACTGTCACCCCTCAAGGGTGTCCCTGTCCCACCCCCACCTCCTGGTGGTCCTAGTTCAGTTTCCTCAGAGGGGGAAAAGTCAGTTGAAGGAGGATGATCCCTGAGCCAAGTAGGGAACTTCTTGTTCGTTCCCGTAAGAAACAACCAGGTTAACAAATTAATTCAAGGCCAGTCATAACTGACGAATAAAATCGAGCCAGTTAACTTCATTTTCTTGGTCTAGGATTAATCTATTCATCAGCTTAGCTCTCGGGGAGGAAACATGCTTCTTCAATAGTTTTCAAACCGAAAATGAATGCCTCATTAAGTTAAATATATTAACCCGAGAGCAGTGCTGATGTCAGACAGACTAATGAATGTCATTATACAGAATGTGCAATAGTCCTCCGAGGTTTCTGGCCAGCCATCAGGAACTCTGCAGATGGGATGAACTATTGCACTGTCTGAAGTAGAAGGAGGAGGGAAGGATACAGGGAGACAGAGGGACACATGTTCCCCACGGCCTGCTCTGAGCCATGTGCTTGGTTTAATCCCTGGATGTTCGCAGGTGGCTGGGGAATCATCAGACCTAAGGCTGAGCAGAGAAGGGATATGAGGAAAGGCGAAGCCACTGGACATGGCACAGGGGAGAATCTGGGAGGCAGCCTGGCCAGATGTCTTCTACGTGTGCATGGAGCTGGGAGCCTTCCTATGGGGACAGAAGAGCACCCTATTTAAAGAGACTGAACAACTGGAGTATTGGCTCATGGTTGTGATAAGAGAAAAAAAATGAAATGGCAATTGAGTTTTACAGTCTCTCATATCCCCACCTCTCCTGGTGCCCACCTGCTCTGTCATCTGAGTTTTTTGGTGACAGGGGCTTTGTGAAGTGTGCATGAAGCTGTGCAACCTATGCATTTATGATCTCACTGAGCGCCAAACACCCGAGACTTGGCGATTATCTCCATGTGTCCAGTGCTGAACAGAGGCCCACGGGTGTTTATTTTTTCCCCTGGGCCAGCGATGCACAATCTGATTCTTCTTGGGGACACTGGGCCGTGCCAGCAAGTTCAGCTCTGGCCAGCTCTGCAGCCATGAGGGTGAGCATCCAACACTCCGTGGTGGGCTGTGTGGTTGAGCTGGGACCTGCGGGAGGTTCGGTGTATAAGGTGCATTTTCCACTTATGATATTTTCTACTTCCCACGGGTGTACTGTAAGTCAAGGAGCATCTATATGACAAGCCCCGATGGGCATCTGCTGAGTGAGTGAATGAAGGAACGGCAGAGTGAGGGGCAGATCTAGCACAGGAGTGTCCCCGTATGGACTCTCTAGACAGGCGGGAATTACAAGGGCTTCGTTCAGGGGTAAAGATGATGGTGCTGGCAGCTTGTGAAACAGGCAAGGTATCAGATGCGGCTTTGGAAGATGACTGAGTGCAAGTCTTTGGAGTCAGAGTGCTATGGTGTATCAGTTGGCTCCCGCTGTGTAACGAGCTATTGCAAAAGCTTAGGGCTTCCAATAAGGAACATTTACTTGGTGTGGAAATCTGTAGGTTCTGATGTGGGAGAAGTGGGGCCTAATTTTAGTCCAGCTCCTTGCCTTTTACTTAAAAAGCATTTAGAGTGCAGGCACATATACAGTGCAAAAAGTGATACAGTTTATTTATCAGGCAAACACACACACATGGGCTGAGTTAGAGTAGGGCAGAGAGAGAAGGGGGTGGGGGAAGGGAAGTGGGGGGCACCCGCAGCACCTCCTCTCGTCCTTGTCTCTGAAGGGAGAGCAAGCACCTCCTGGCACCTCCTCTTATGAGGTAGTGTGGTCACCTGGGAAGTTTATGACACCTGCACAAAATTCCATGTGGAGCTTAATGTGTACATGGCGACCCTTCCCCAGGTCCTGGTTGGAAATAAGGCATCCTGGGAAAGGGGGTGGTCTGACAAATAGGTGGAATTACATGGGCCAGGGCCTCGAGGTTTGCCACCTCCAGTTCAGCTCGCTTCCTTATCCTGTATCAGTTCTGCAGCTCTGGGCTGGGCGCAGCTGGGCATGGCTTGGCCTGGCTGGGCACAGCTGGGATTATTAGCACTTGGGCTGCTGGTGTGTTGGCTGGTGAAGCTGGCCTTTGTGGGATGACTTGGTGGTTTATCTCAGCTCAATGTGTTCCCTCAGCCTCCAGGGAGGATCCTGGGCTTCGTTCTCACGGTGAAAACAGGTTGTAAATTACAGCAGAGGTGCACGAGGTCTCTGGAGGTTTAGGCTCAGCCCTTGTTCAATGCCGCTTGTGCTGTGCTGTATGGGTCCCAGGATACGGGGTAGCTCAGACTGAGTGAGGAAATAGATTTTGCCTCCTGCTGGGAAGAGTTGCAAAGGACAAGGGCAGAGGGGAGAGTGGGAAACAGTGGCCAATTTTGCCATCAAAGCTCATCATCGAGACCTCTAGCTCTGTGTGTGTGTGCGCAGGCGTGTGTGTGTGCCCACGTGCATGCGTGCACAGGGACTTGAAGAATGAGGGCATCAGGGTGGGGGATCAGATACCATCTATCCCCAGCCTTGTGTCTGAGCAAACGTCCCTTCATTCAGGGCAAGTCAGCCAGGCAAGGGTAGGGCTATAGAAGCTGGGGTTGAGCACCCCTGTGGGAAGGGAGAGTTGCCTTTGAAAACAGGAAGGGCTGGAGGAAGACTCTCCCACAGTCACAGCTGTCCAGGGAGAGAAGGGGCTGTCTTGGGGGGTGCTGAGCCCCCCATCCTGGGGGCTGTGCAAGCAGGAGTGAGAGGGGGGCCTAACAGTGATGCAGTCTTCAGACCCAGCTTTGCTATACGACGATGTTTCAGAGCAAACGACTTTATCTCTGTGAGCCACGGATTCCTCATCTGTAAAATGGGAATTGTAATGGAACCCAGGGCACGGGGCTCCTGTGACCTTTACGTGAGATAATGCATGCAAGGCACTAACACAGGGCTGGGTGCATATGAGCCACAGTGGCTGAGAGCAGAGGGCATCCTTTCATGGCCGTGACCCTGGCATCAGCCCTTGTGGCGTCCAGTGTTGCATCTTTGGAGACGGGCTCTCTGCTCCTGTCGCAGCAGTTGGAGGCTGCCCCTGCCCTGGCTCCCTTCTCCCTGCAGCCCTCTCTTAGCCTCTAGAAATGATCTCTGCTGGCTCAGAAGCCTGCTCTCCACCTCCCTCTCTGATGGACGGTGGCCGTGGGGGTTTCCTTGCCCCTGGCTGCCCGGCGCATGGGACAACGCTGGACACTGGAAGCTGCTGTCACCGTGGGAACCAGAGTCTCTTCCCAGATGTCTGAGATGTCCCAGAGGCTGAGCCCCAGAGGAACAGGGGCCCCCTCCACGGGGAGGGACTTCTCTGTGGTTGCGGGTGGCAGATCGGCTCTGTGGCAGCTCCTTCATCATCTGTCCTAGACTCACACGCGCCATTTGATTTCAGTTGGAGGAGAAATAAGGAAGACTTGTAAAGCCTCTCAGTGAGCATCGCTCCAGGCTCCGGCAGTTCCACCATTTCTGGTTTACTCGGAGGTGCCCTCCCTGAGCCCCTGGGCACTTGGCACGTGTTAATGGATCCGACTCCCCAGACTGTAAGTGGTTCCTTGGGATTGATCTTCCCCTGAAAAATAAGCTTTGGAGATGGAAATATCCATCTGAGAGCCTTCAGTGAATTGCACTTTTATCAAGTGGAGCAAAACAATGCTCTTGGGGGCCGGTGCTGTGGCGCAGTGGGTGAATGCCCTGGCCTGCGGCGCCGGCATCCCATATGGGCACCAGTTCGAGACCCCGCTACTCCGATCCAGCTCTCTGCTATGGCCTGGGAAAGCAGTGGAAGATGGCCCAAGTCCTTGACCCCTGCACCTGCGTGGGAAACTCGGAAGAAGCTCCTGGCTCCTGGCTTCAGATCAGCGCAGCTCCGGCAGTTGCGGAGTGAACCATCAGATGGAAGATACCCCCCCACCCCTCTGCGTCTCCTCTCTCTGTGCAACTCTTTCTAATAAAATAAATAAATCTTTAAAAAAAAGACAAAAAAACCCCAAAAAACAAAAAACAATGCTCTTGAAGCCCACCCTGCAAGGATAACAAAGGGCTGTGGCGCAGCCCCTGCAACAGGGAAGGGGTGTGAGGGAGCTCTCTGTGCCCCGAGCTCCTTTCTGCCTGAGTTTACCAGGTCCCCTGCTCCTGTCCCCGCCCAGCTCTGCCCCTCTCCGGGACAGAGGATATCTGAGCCACTCCCCTGCTTCCTGGGGCTGAGGGCTTTGCCTGGAGAGTAGAGAGTGGGGTGGGGTCCACTGTGGAGGAATGGAACCTGGAGACCCTGGGAAAAAGGGGTGCAGGCACCCCAATCCCCTGGGAATGTGGCAGTATAGAGATACTCACCAGAGACCGGGGTTGAGATGAGGTCTCCCGCCTAGCCCTTCCCACAAAGGGTCCAAGGAGAGGGTTCAATTCATCCGGACACTCAGTCAGCAACCATGTGCCAGGGCCAACCTGTGCCCAGCACTGGACTGGGGCCAAGATGCAGGAGAATAAGCCCTAGACCTCTGCATCCTCATACCACGCACTTACGTCAGCCTCTAACCTGCCTGCCTATCACCCCTGTGCCCGCCTCCTGCCCTGTGTCCCCCTTAGTGTGGTCACCGCTGACTCTGCACACAGCCCTGTCTGTCAGTGTGGGAACCTGAGCTCAGGGCGGTGGGGCTTTCTCTGTCCTGCCCTGAGCTCTGTCCCCTGTGCCTGGAATGTGTTCTGTTGTGTGAATCATGGCTCTGGACCTGCTCCCAAGGTGGGACCAGGAAGCCCAGGGTGGCAGATGTCCTCCGTGAGTGCCCTCCTTGATGTGTGAGGGCCAGTGCTGGGGCACATGGACTGGGCTCCCATGGGGTCCACTGAAGTCATTCAGAACATTGCTGGCTATGGAGCACAAGGGGCTTGGAACAAACTGTTCTCCCATTTTGGACACAATGCAGCCCCTGCTGGCAACAATGTGACCTTGCACTGCTGCCTGGCCATGTGGGCGTGGGCCTGGCACTGCCACTGCATCAAAGCCCGATGCGTCCCTGGGTGCAGAGTGGGCGTGGCTGGGGCTTCTGTGCCGTGCCCTCTGCAGCTGCTGCATTGGTGCGGTTTGGGCATTTTGTATCCTGTGGCAAGCTGCCTGGGCAGAGCTTGGCCTGGTGTCGCCCACGCCTGAGGGAGGTTGCGGCTCCCTGAAATCCATAGTGTATCCATGGGAGCACGGCTCTTCCTCATGGGAGAGCTTTGATGAGCCGCCCGCTTTGAACCTCGCTGCGGCTGAGGGCTGGAGTCAATGAGACCCCTGCCAATGACTCAACATGTGATCCCAGCAGGCAGCTAAGGGCAGGCAGACCGTCATGGGCCAGTCGTGGTGGGTTTGTCCTGATGTAGAGGAGACACACCTGTGCTGATGCTGAGGCCCCCATACAGGGGAGGCTGCTGGTGCAGAGACACCATGGGGAATCACCTCCTTATGTGTAGGTTCAACACGGAGTGGGGGCGCAGCCTTTTGTGCAAGGGTGTGCGAGGTTGCCAGGCCCCCCAAGTCCAAGAGAGCATTTCTGGGGAGGGTCCAGGGTCAGTAGTCAGTCATCCAGGGTCAGCTCCGGAGCCGCAGAGAAGGGGCTTCAGACCCAGAAATCCATTCTGAGCCTCAGGTTCTTTATCTGTAAATATGGGTAATCAACAACCTTTTAAACTGCTAGTGATAAAAAGAAAGGGTTGTACAGCCAGTTGGCCTGGGTTCAAATCCTAGTTCTGCTGCTTTCTAGCTGTGTGAACTTGACCTTGACCTTGAACCAGTCTACATTGTTGGGATCTACTAGGCCACTGGGGCACAAAGAGCTAATTCCAAAGCCCTGGTAAGATTGGGCACAGAGGGCTGGTGCTGCGGCTCACTTGGCTAATCCTCCGCCTGCGGCGCCAGCACCCTGGGTTCTAGCGCTGTTTGGGGTGCCGGTTCTGTCCCGGTTGCTCCTCTTCCAGTCCAGCTCTCTGCTGTGGCCCAGGAAGGCAGTGGAGGATGGCCCAAGTGCTTGGGCCTTGCACCCGCATGGGAGACCAGGAGGAAGCACCTGGCTCCTGGCTTCGGATTGGCGTGCTGTGCCGGCCGCAGCACGCCGGCCGTAGCGGCCAATTGCGGGGTGAACCAACGGAAAAGGAAGACCTTTCTCCCTGTCTCTCTCTCTCTCTCTCACTGTCTAATTCTGCCTGTCAATAAAAAATAAAGATTGGGCACATATAGGTAACCCTAGGCCTTGGTGGAATTCTACTTCTTATTCTGCTAGCCTGGCGCCAACCTTCATGAGCACCACTCCCGGGACTGCAGACGATTGGCTTGGATAAACGGCTGCCTCCGAGGCTTTCTGCTCATCCAGGCCCGCCTGTCCTGGCCATGCGGCATTCTGCACTGCCACATGACCTGCCCCTGAAAACTAGCTTAACAGGGGCCTCTGCCCGCTGCCCGGGGGTGCCGAAGATGCACTTCCCTACTGCGCTCTCCTCTCCACAATAAAAGGCTTTTCTGCTTTAACCCGCTCATTGCTGCACTGTCTTTGGGCCCGAGAATCCTATACCTAACACTCCTGACTTCTAAGCCCGAGAGTCTCACCTGCTGTGTGTGTGCTAATGCAACCGACCTCATCGGGCTGTCGCAAGGGTGCAGGCCCATGCAGCGAGCTTAGGAGAGGGCTTAGGAGAGGGCTCTGTCTGTGTCAGCACACTCGGGCGTTGGCTCCTGGAGGCATGTCCTCCTGGAGCACTTCTTGGGTTCCCATCTTTCTGTCTCAGTCCTCCCCTGGCGCCGGATGACCTTGGTCCACTCAGAACCCTGGGCTGAGCCCTGCCCCCACCTCCAGCTGCACTGCCCTCCCGCTGGGTCCTCCTGCCTCGGGCCTCTGCACCTACTCCTCCCTCCTGCCGCCAAGTCCTCCCCCTGAAGCTCATCGTCCCCCTCCTTCCTTCCTTCCGGGCTCTAGCAAATTTTACGTGACCATTCCTGTGGCCCGAAGCCTTCCCATCACCATGCGTCTCAGGTGGTGCTGGCTCCTTAGGCCGGGTGGCTTCCACGCAACTGAGACTTGGTACTTGTAGTTCCAGAGGCTGGAAGTTCCAAGGTCAGGGTACTGGGGCATTTGGGGTCTGCAGGAGCTGGATCTTTGTAGATGGCACCTTCCTGCGGCGTCCTCACACAGCAGGAAGAGGCAACCAAGGCGCCACAAGGGACTCCTCCCATCCCTGCGGGCTCACCGTCAGGACCCAGGCACCAACATGTACATTTGGGAGGGACACAGGCACTCGGACCACAGCACCCTCTCTGTCCTCCACCCTGTTTTGTTGCCTTCCTGGTGTGAATCTGACATTATTGTATGGAGTGGTTTGATTGATGTCCTTCTCTGTCACCCTAGGGCCAGGGTGAATGCAGATCTTTGATTGGTCAGGCCTGGGCCCCTTGGTCCATTCTTGGAGCCAAGGTAGAGCCCATCCCAGATGCATGCAGGAGGTGGAGAGGGCTGGATCAGGGGTCCACAGATGGTAGAGGTGGATGCATGGGTGGGGAGGGAAAGAAAGCACAGACGCTTGTGATGGGGGGAAGGTCGGGCTCACCCAGGCAGTGAGGGCTGCCTGGAGCTCACACCTCTCCAGGGTCCCAGGGGGCAGGAGCTGATGATGGGTCCTGGAGCAGGGTCACCCCCAGCTCTGCAGAAGCCTCTCTGAGCCTCAGCTTTGCTTCAGCAAACACGGAGATGACGTTTGGCAGCTTGCAGGGCTGTGTGGGTGTGACTGGCGCCTGCCAAGCAGGAGGTTCTGTCAATATCACGCAGAGAATGGCAGGTGCATGGAGCGTTCAAGTGGGCATCAGGAGGCTCTGGTTTGGGCGCCTGCCCTGCCCTGTGTTTGCTGTGGGACACTGGGGCCCAAGGCCTGGCAGCCCTTCCTCCATTGTCCCCTGTGAAGGGACAGGGCCCAGCTGCAGAAGCAAGGAGAACCCTGCAGTCTGGGGTCCGGGGGACTTGGGGCGATGTCCCAGGAGAGGAATCCCGCAGATCTCTGGTCCTCAGGTGGTTCCTGCCCTTCCAACCCCTGCTCTGGGGTGACAGGAGCCAAGCAGGTGGGTTTACACCCTCTGTCCTCAGCTTGCCGCTTCCTTCTTCCAGCCTGGGGCACTTTGAAAAGTTCCTAGAACCAGAGAAGAGACTTGGGAAAGCGTGGGAAACCCCAGGGATGCTCCTCCCATCCAACTCCGCAGGGGCTGACTCAGCACAGGGTGGGGGTGTGCTGAGCTCACGCCTCCACCTCTGGCCCTCACCACCCTCTACCCCAGGGAGGTGACTTCTCCCGGCTGACTCAGCTCCCCCGGCTGTACCCGAGTTGTCTCGGAGCAGGTCGTCGGCAGAGTGAAGGGTGTTGTGGAAGGGGAGTCAGAGGGTGGGCGGAAGCAGACTCCAGGGGGCGGTTCCAGCACAGACTTCATGCTTTGACTCCTAGGAGTAGGCACAGATCTCAACAGATTTTTGCTCCCAAATACGTTTGTCTTTTCATTCCATTTCCCACAAGCATTTTGAAGTCCCCTCATAGTTTAGGGATGGGAGGAGAGGGCTCACGGAGGGCACAGTGAGGGAGGAGGAGGAAGGTGTGGGGCGGTGAGGCTGAGCGTACAAGTTTCCAGAACCTCCTGGGATGCTACGCAGGCTCAGCTCTGGTCCGGGAGCTCCCGGGAGCTGCTGCTGCTGGCCTCCAGACCACAAGCAGCAGCCAGGGCTGTTAGAGGTCACCTTGTACATGCATCTCTGTCACAGGTGCTCCCTGAGGTCTTGCTATGCTTGAGGATCAGGGGTGAGGGAGGCAGGCTTGGCCCTGTCCTGTGGGAGACCTGGGGCTGATGTCTGTTCTCCTGAGCTGTTTGATTCCACCTCTGTGTTCCAAGCTGAGAGTCCCAGGAGCGGGGCCACAGGCCGCTGTCACAATGGAGCCTGGCCCACGGCAGTGCTCACATCGGTGGATGGCTGATGCCTGGAACTGGGTGCAGGATGCACGCTGGGCTGGGGGGAGGGGCGGTAGGCAGCACTCCGGCTTCCAGCCTGCACCTGCCCCCGCTGATAGCTTGAGGATGCCCTGGGCAGCTCTGGGCAGCAGGAGGCAGTGGGGGTGGGGTGGGGGGAGGCATTAAGGTGGGCAGGTCTGAGAAAATGAGGATGTGGGAGAGGCTGTACCTGATTCTTGGATGGTAAGATGTTTCTTATCTGAATAGTTTCGAAATAGAACTCAAATGTAACAGTGGCCGTTCTGGAGCGGGTGGGGACTGGAGAGATGATGCGGGAGTGACTTCCTGTGTCCCTGTATGCTTTAGTTAATACTGCTATCCACGCAGTAATCCTGTATTACCCAGCCACATTCGTATTGCACACCTGCACGTGCCCGCACAGGAAATCACGGTTGTCACCACCGAGGGTTGCTCACTCACGCAGGAATGCCACACTTCGGCGCTCGGCAAAAGGGCTGCCAACGCCTGAGCGCTGTGCTCTCCAGGGACCGACAGGAAAGGACTCTCGTTTTCAAGCATTTTCTTTTCACACTCCGATGCAGCCGGAAAAGCCTGCTCAATTCCTTCCCAAGTTCTGTTCAGTTCGACTGGCGTTTTCCAAGTTGCTGCGAGATTTTCCTTCTATCTCCAGCACGCACAGTTTCCATTCTGAATGGGCACTGGATTTTGTCACATGCTTTTTCCTGCAGCTATGGAGACGGTCCCATGATTTCTCTTGGGTCTGTCAGTAAGGTATGTGACACTGATGGATACCTGTCTTTGGGAAACTTGCTATGCTGGTTCAATATATTCAACCTAAAATGGACCATTTTAACCATTTATTTTTTGTTTTATTTGGGAGAGAGAGAAAGAGACAGAGAGAGAGAGTGAGCTCCCATTTGCTGGTTCAGTCCCCAAATGCTGGGGTAGGGAGTCCCGAATCTGGGACCGGGAGCTTAACCCAGGTCTCCCATGTGGGTAGCAAGAACCCAAACCTTCCTGCATTAGCAAGAAACTTGAATCAGGAACTAGAACCAGAAGTGGGACTCAGGCACTCTGAAGTGAGACTGTTGGTCTCATGAGCTCAGGCTGTCCACTGCTGCGGCCGCACGTCCAGCACAAAGCTGGTGTAGAGTAGCCACTCAATAAACACTTGCTGACTGACTGATGGATCGAGGCTTTCCCTCTCTTTACCAGTGTATGAGGTGCATCTTCTGTGCATTTTAACACGGAAGAAACTGAAGCTCAGGAAGTGGAGCCACTTGTTGAGAATCACATGGGAGACAAGAGCCAAGCTGGGACTTGAACTCAGACTCGGGGCAGAGTCCTGCAAGCATCAGCCACTGGGAGAACCTGGAGAAGGACCCCGGGCACGCACCTCGCCAGGCCCATCTCTCCTCTCCTTCTCTACTCCCTAAAGCCACACCGTGTTCCCAGCCATCCCAGCCACGCGCTCTGCCTGTTCCAAGCCTCTGAGTCTTGGCACGCACCCTGCCCACTACATGCCCCAGACAAACTGTTACCTGTCAATCTCAGCTGAGTTCAGTGTCCCTGGCCTCCCCAGGTACAGCCGGACAAGTCCCGGTGGGGACTCCCCACACCCCACTCCTTCCACTGCTCCAGACTCACCTGTTCCTGTGATTCCCTAACCCCGTCCCCCCCTCACCAGGTGCGGGTGTCCAGGAACACCTGGCCATGGTGTCTAACGTGCTAACAAAGACGCCTGGGTGCATAAATGAATGAGAGAGGGGCTAAGTGACTGCAGGCCTTGGGCCATGGGGACACGAAGCGGCTCGGACAGCCATGCCCCGTCTTCCTGTTAGCATCGAAGGGTGCCAGACCTGCAGGGACTCACCAACAGGGGTTTCAGAGACGAGAAATGGCATGAAGAAGTCGGGCAGCCCAGCCCTCTGCTTCCAGGCTGGAGGACAGCGAGCGCTGTTCGGATTTTCTAGAAGGATCAGAGGGGTTGGTCTCCATGTCCAAAGCCACACAATCAAAATTCTTTCTAGAAACCTGACTTCCAACAGCCAAACCATCATCTGCTACAGCAGTTGGAGCTGCCTGGCACCCACAGGCACTTGCGTGCTCAGCCTGGGCCTGCCCCTGTGGTGTGGATCTCTGTCACCCTCCGTCACCCTCGCTGCAGGCTGATCTTACTGTGGCTTCTTTATTTATATTTGCATGGCACTTCATTTTCTCAGTACAACAACATGTGCTTCTTTAAGATGATTTTAAGCAATAACTGACAGCCCACCAGCCCACACCTTATTCCCATTTTACAGATCAGGAAACTGAGGCACTTTCTACACAACACAGCCTCATTCCCCTATGAATGTGCAGTAGGGTCCTTATTTTCCTGATACAATGCCAGAAGCTCCGTGACTCATGGGGGTAACCGAGGCCCTGGGGGCTTGGGGCAGATGGAAATGGCTCCCTTGAATGCAGTGTTTTTCTCGGGTCATTGGCAGCAAGTCAGTATTCCCTGTGCCACTGCAGGCTGCTGTCCACCTCCCTAACTTGGGGGGGAGAGGCAGAGGGAAACAGTCCTGGAGAAGTCTGAGTGGCGGCATCTGAGAAACCTGGCTGGGAGTGTGCCGGCGGCGCCCAGGAGCCCATCTGCCCTGGGCTGCCGAGTCACCTGGTCAGGACCCTCAGTCCCCAGCACCTGGCTTGGGGAGGGAGCGGCCTGATTAAGTCTCTGGCCCTGCTTATCTGGCGTGAGCCGGTCCATTTTTCTCTTTTATTACTCAGCATTTCAGGAAAGTGTCCTTGCAGGCCACTGGTATCCACATGTTGGACTTATTTGGTGGTTCCACCCGGCCAGGTGACAGGGCCAGCACATGCCCCAAGGTCAGGAGGACGTGGCCCCTGGGCCACCTGTCCCAAGGGCACCCTCTTATGCTGTGGTGGGTAGGGGTCCCAGGCAGCAGCTCCCCATGACCACCACCCTGGTCCCCTGTCCCTGTGTGTCCCTCCCCTGCTCTGTGGGCCCGGGTGCGCTCTCACCCATGGCAGCTAAGAGGGGAGGCGCGGAATTCTCCAGGGTGCTGTCTGGGAGGGGCTACTAGTTCCCGTCTGCCCCGTGAGGACTCCTGGCCAGACGAAGAGTCCTTGCTGACACCAACCAGAGTGAACACCCATGTGCTCCCTGGTCCAGGCCGGGGCCATGGCCACGGGCTCCACGTGCCCTCCCTCCCCACTGCTCCTCACAGCGCCTTGTGCACATGCGGAGCTGAGGCCAAGAGCAGAGGCCACGTGGACACAGTGGCTCCCTGGGAGTCCTGGTTTGGGCAGGTGCTGATCGGTGGCCCCAGGGACCTCGGCCAGGGCCTACTGAATGGGCGCTGGCTGCCCCCTGACCCGACCTGGACCCGCGGGTGTGGCAGCGGGAGAGGCAGCCGTCGTGTCACAGGCGTCGACCGTGCCTGGCCGTGTGCACTCTGTGGCAGGACCACACCTGCCTTCTCCCCAGCGGACCCCGGCACCTAGCAGAGGGCCCAGCACTTGGCAGGTGCTCAGCGAAGAACCGCAGGAGAGTGGGCGAACCAACTGCGCATGTGCACAGTGGGGGAGGCGTGGCCGGGCAGCAGCTCCAGTCCATTCACGCCTTCGGGCAGGTGCCTCTCGGAGCGCCTGTTGCCACACATTTGGCTCTGGATGAGCCATGGTGGGACCGAGAGGAAGACGACTGTCCGGCGGCAGCTCGGAGTCCGGAAGGAGGACAGAACTCGGGAGAAGCAGTAACAGTCGATGATAAGGGGTTTCAGGAGAGGGGCTGTGCAGAGCTCTGAGCACTCAGGGCAGCCGAACCGTACTGGATCCCGGGAGGCTGCCCAGGAAGTGTGCGGCCTCTCCCAACAGGAGGCGTCTTCTCCCACTGCTGACTCTGACTTGCTTGGGCCAGCAGAATGCAGTGGACGCAGTGGCGTGCGTGCCAGCATCCCCGCGCAGGCGGCCCCTGGCGGGAGCCAAGCCTATGCTCAGGACGTCCCAGCCTTGCCTGCCGGAGGAGGAGAGCCCCAAGCCGGCCAACCCCCCCCCCCCCCCCCAGAAGCACACTCGTGGATGACCTTGACTCTCCGGAGGAACTCAGAGAAGACCAGCAGGGCGGCCCCACTGAGCCAGGCATCAACTGCCGACCCCTAGGAACGTGAACTAAAGAAAAGACGGTTGCTCACCGGGCCGAGTTTTGGGCGAGCTGATCGGACAGCAGTAGGTAACTGACACACGTGGCCTTCCCACAGGTGGTCCTGAGAGCTGAGCTCCTGCGCAGAGCTGCCTTGATCAGCAGATTATCAAGACGTGGTTAAGGGGACTCGCTGTGCCGGTGCCATAATCAGGACAGAAGCGCGCTTCTCTCACGTTAGCCGTGGGTGTTGGCCATCCAGGGCTCCCTGATGGCTCACTGTGTGCGGGCCCAGGCGCCTCCCTGCTTGCTGCTCTGCCTTCCTAAGGTTGCTTCCACCCGCGTGGTCGGCTGGGCCTTCCCTCCCCTCCAGCGCTTTGCCAGGAGAAGGGGCAATGCGGGGCAATGTTCCCTTCAAGAACTCACTGGGGGCCGGCGCCGCAGCTCACTAAACTAATCCTCCGCCTGTGGCGCCAGCACCCGGGGTTCTAGTCCTGGTTGGGGCGCCGGATTCTGTCCCGGTTGCCCCTCTTCCAGGCCAGCTCTCTGCTGTGGCCCGGGAGTGCAGTGGAGGATGGCCCAGGTCCTTGGGCCCTGCATCTGCATGGGAGACCAGGAGGAAACACCTGGCTCCTGGCTTCGGATCGGCATAGCACGTTGGCCACAGCGGCCATTTTGGGGGTGAACCAATGGAAGGAAGACCTTTCTATCTCTCATTGTCTAACTCTGCCTGTCCAAAAAAAATATTAAAAAAAAAGAACTCACTAGGCAGTTTTACACATGCATACATGCACACACATGTACACATGGACACACATGCACATGCACAAGTGCATGCATGGACGCCTTCTTCTACCTGCCATTTGTGGCATATAGTCACATGACTGTACCTTGCTGCAGGGGAAGCTGGGAAATGTAGTCTTCTGTGGTTTGCAGCCATGGAATCTGAGGGTCTGCTAGCACAGGAAGACGAGCACATACCCCATGAAGAAAGATGAGGGTACTGAGGGGAGCAGGGACTCAGAGAAGGGAGGGCTCTGGGGACTGGGGAGTGGGGAGGAAGGAGACGGGTCACTGCCTCCCTCCCAGGGCCTCCTGTGAGCTCCTGCGAACCTGATGTTGGTCTGAGCCTGCTTGTGAATGCTCAGCTCTGGGACGCTTTCAGTCACGTGACCCCTCCGCATGTTTAGAGAGCTCCATCATGATGGTGCCGTGTTCACGCGATGGAGCTCGTGCCTCTCTGATGATGGTTCTTGAGATTTCCCTGCCACTCCTCAGTGGACCAAGTGGAACGCCCAGCAGCCTCCAGACATCAGCCCTGGGGACGGCACCCCCCGAGGGCCAGCTGACATTTGTTGGGGGCTCCCTGCCGGCCAGGAGCCGTGTAGCGGGAAACACCTGGGTTCTCTCGTTGAGCCTCTGCACAGTCTGGGAGTTAGGGACTGCTCTTATCCAGTTGTGTCAGTGAGGGAACTGAGACCCGTGGGGTGGGGGATTGGAAAGCACCCAGACACACACCTCTAATGTGAACGCTTCCTGTTTGTTAGTCACACCCCAACAGAGCTGCAGAAAGACAAGCAAAGCCAAGCAGCGGCCACCTATCACCTCCACCTTTGTCATCTCGGGGCCCAGAGTCAGGACATCCCCAGAGCTCAGCTCCACCACCCGCCTGCACCAGAAACCTGGTGGGAGGCAGGGAGGGTGGAAGTCCACCCTGCCCCACTCTGCTGTCCCCAGGTGTTGGGTGAGGAGAAAGAGAGTGGAGAGGACACACCTACTTCCTGATGATCAGGGCCCAGAAGTGACCCCTGCGTCCCTTTCTCTGCGGGGACAGGATGGAGGCAGCCATGACTCCTAGTGAGGCTGAGCCGGTCACAAGCTGACACCAAGGAAAGACACGGCCATTCCAGACCCCCGAGAGTCTGAGTCTTCTCGAGTGTCTAGAAACAGAATCAAGGGTGGACAGGACCGAGGAGACCACCCCTTCACCCTCAGTTGACCTTGAACACAACCTAGAACAGGTGCAGCATATGGGGTCCTTCCTCACTCTGGGGGCCGACGAGGAAGGGTCAGGACACCTGGCTGGAACTGTGCTGCAGGCACATGTGTGTCTGTCTGCCCCGCCCACCCCTCTTCCCCCCCGCAGGTGTAGGTGAGGCACTGAGCTAAGCCCTGTCTCTGTGTTCTTGCATTCCTGCACTCTAGAATCTTACCCTGGTTCTCTGGGGGCTTGGCTCTAAAACGCTCCTGGAAAGACCAAGTATCCCAGAAGTGGTGGGGCTGGGATTTGAATCCGGAGCTATCTGAATCCATTTTTCTGCAGAAGTGGGAGCAGAGACTTCCTGCCTCCTAAGGGGGCCTCCAAACCCCATATCCCAGGCCAACACCTGCCCCGACCCCAGGATCTGGGTCCTCAGCCCTCAACCCTCATCCTGTGGGGTTTCCTCTCTCGGGGGTCCCTGGCACTAGGAGTCAGCAGCCGGAGACAGGCTCCTGACCCACCCTGTGGGCTGGGGTCCCGGGGAGGTGGAAGGACTGACTGCCCTGCCTCCTCCACACTGCACCTCAAGAATCCCGGTGGGGCTGGAAGGAGGCTCAGGGGGAACCCCTGACAATGGCCTGGGAGGGGCTGTGAGACGTGGGGAGACCCCTGTGTGCTGAGCCTCAGGCACGTGCGAGGGGCTTTGCGCGGCTACTCCATTTAACGAGCTAACTGGCGAGTCTCTGTGTTGATTCTGTTCCCCTCTGTGAGATGCGTTCCCCGATTCCTTCCTAGGATTCGGTGATCCAACAAGTCAGTAACATCCCCAGGTCTCCGAGTTTCTCCTGTAGAGCTCTGGGATGAAAAAACCCTCTCACCGCGCTCGGCTCCGCCCCTGGAAGCCCCAGGGATCTCTACCGCGGTGGGCGGTGGGCGTGGACACTGCTGTGAAGGGCGGGGCTACAGCGATGGGCAGGGCACTGCAGTGATGGGCGGGTTTCAGGCCTCTGTCCAGAGCCCCGGTCCACTTCCCCGTACCCTTCCGGACATGACAACTGCTGGGCTTTCCTGGAAGCTGATCCAAGCCGTCACTGATCCCAGCTTCCCCGCGCTGGTTGGCAGATTTGTCCCCACATCCGCAGAGGGGCTGAGAGGGGTCCTGGGCGCACTAGGAGCGCGGAATCTCTGTCCTCCCGCGTGTGTCACACCCAGAGGCCGAGACCCAGACCGGGACGGGGGCTTCCGAGGCTATGTGAGGCCCCGCGCCTGCTCGGACTCAGCAGGCCGCCCCCACGCCGAGGCTCCGCCGAGGGCGGGACTCACAGGCCCCTCCGTGTGGACACGGCCGGGGCTGTTGGGGATCCGTTCGCCGGGCTCAGCTGGTGCTTTGGTCGACCTAGGGACGGGGCTGTGTAAAGGGCTTTTAACAGCGAGGGGCCCCTTCCCCGTCTCTGTCGCAGGCGGGACGCTGCCAGGCCCCTCCCACTTTGCCCCTGCACTGGCCCCACCCCATTCTCCCAGTGCACCCCAATTCCCTCCGCTCAACTTGCTCAATGTGTGCGGATTCCGCAGGGCCCGGGACAGCGCGGCTGCCGCTCCTTCTGCCTGTGCTGGGGTTTCAGCAACGTCTGGACTTGGGCACATGGGTGTCATCGAGCATCTGTGTCCGGGACCCAGCACAGGGCACCTCACTGGGGTGGGCGGCCCCGAGTCCAGCTCCTGCAGAGAGGCCCTCAGGCCATGGAGAGAGCGGAAGGCGCATGCGTGCTCTGCCTCGCTCGATGTCTTGGCGGCAACAACCCAGGCACGTGGGGACCCAGGCAACGCCAGGGATACATGAGCCCAGGCCCTGGTACATTCACCGTGTCCTCCCCTTTGCTCATGGTCTCTGTCTGTGGACTGGAGGGAGGCCCTGGGCTGGGGGGATGTGTTGGGGGAGGGGGCAGAGCAGGGTGTGCACCCTCAGGAGTGTGTCTGCTGGGGCATTATGGATTATGATGCAGGAGGCAGTAAGCCAGTGAGGGTAGGCTCTTTAGCCGCATTTTCAGTGGCATTGAAGCGAGCAGTTAAAGATCGGAGGCGGAGGCCTGAGAGCAGGCTCTGCCAATGCCTGGCCCTGGGGCTCGGGAGCAGTTGCTGGCTGAATTTCAGTTTTCTGATTTTTACAGTAAGCATCACATTAGGACCACACCATGGGGCTACTGGGAGGAACAAATCAGACACTGTACTAATGTGCTTGGCACATAGTAGATGCTCATTGAAGAGCAGCTCTTACGACATGATCTCATATACAGGTATTTAGGGGATGTGGACCTTCTGTGTGATACTGGAAACTGAGTGTTTTCTGATGAGCAAAACCAGAGGCAGCCTTTGTTCTCAGGGAACTCCATGTGTCGGAGGGGCAGAGGAACGTTGCTTCAATAATCTCAGGCTTGACTGTGAATCACTGAATCAGCTTTGAATGGGAGGAAAGGGCCTGGGGATGCTCAGAACACAGAGTTCTAGCCTCGCTGGGGTATGTGTGTGGGTCACGGTCAGGGAGGGCACTGCTGGGAACCCCCGTGCTGTGGGTGGCCAGCAGGGCGGACCCCCCCCCCCCCATCCCGCAGAGCCACTCTGCAAGGATGGAGTCACACAGTGTGGTCTGTGACAGGCAAGGACTCGTGTAATAATGCTCCCACAGCCCTACATGGAGGTGCTGCTGTCACCGGTTACGGGTGAGCAGACAGACAGACACCTCGAGGGTTAGTAGGTTGCCCACTTGGCAAACTGTGGCCTGACCCCAGGCACTGGCTCCTGAGTGCCTGCTCTTAGCTGTTGCTCTGGGTGACTGTGTTGTCCCAGCCCTCGAGGAGCTCTGAGGCCGTGCCCTAAACCCCTGGGCCCAACAGTGGCTGGAGGAAGATGTTTTCAATGGAGAGGACAGAGAAGGCAGCAATTTATTTCCGTCCTAAAAGGTGGGGAAGTTTTGAACAGGCACAGTTGCAGTGCATTAGTCGGAATGCTATTTCACACAACACGAACACTCATGGTTCAACTTAGGCAGAAAAGCTAAGAAAGCCAAAGTGAGGGGTCTGTGCTTGTGGCGCAGCAAGTTAACCCACAGCCTGCAGCATTGGCATCCCATATGGGCAACAGTTCAAGTCCTGGCTGCTCTACTTCCCATCCAGCTCCCTCCCAATGCATCTAGGGAAAGCAGCGGAAGATGGTCCAAGTCCTTAGGCCCCTGCACCCCTGTGGGAGACCCAGAGGAAGCTTCTGGCTTCTGTCCGGTCAAGCCCAGGTCTTTGAAGCCATTTGGGGAGTGAACAAGTGGATGGAGGATCCTTCTCTCTCTCTCTCTCTCTCTCTCTCTCTCTCCTTTTCTCTGTGGCTGTGCCTTTCAAATTAAAAAAGAAAAAAACCAATGTGTGGGCTAAGCAGTGTATGTGGTGGGACCTTGTCACGTGACTGTACTCATGTTGCATGGGAGACTGAGAAAACCTCCGGACAAGGTCAGGGTCAGTGAAGTCCATTGTCTTAGGGCAGGGTCCTGTGGCAGGGCGACTGCCAGCCACAGCAGCTCACTGCACATCATGATGGGCAGCATTTGAGGGGCGAGGCCACTGGGGAGGGCACATGTCCCCTCTGTGGGTCGACGAGCAAGACAGGAACACGGGCTCTGTCCTCACCTAGAACGCGAGTCCTTAGAGTGAGGGAGGGTGGGGCCGGGCAGGTCTTGGTCCTTTGTGGGCAAAGTCTCTACTGAGTTCCAGAAAAGAAAGGACGGACAGGACCCTCAGGAGCTTTGAAGTTCCCCCTCAAGGTTGTTTTTTTTTTTTGAAAGGTAGAGTCATAGAGAGTGAGAGACACACACAGAGAAAGGTCTTCCTTCCATTGGTTCACTCCCATTTCCAATGGCCTCTATGGCCGGCGCTGCGCTGATCTGAAGCCAGGAGCCAGGTGCTTCCTCCAGTCTCCCATGCGGATGCAGGGGTCCAAGCACTTGGGTCATCCTCCACTGCCCTCCCAGGCCACAGCAGAGAGCTGGACTGGAGGAGGAACAACTGGAACTAGAACCCGGCGCCCATATGGGATGCTGGCCCCATAGGGGGAGGATTAACCAAGTGTGCCACGGTGCAGGCCCCACCCCCACCCCCAAATTTTGAAAACGAAGTTGACCGCATCCTCTCCTACAATCAGACAGGGAACGGAGGGCTTTTTGTTTTGTTTCTTTCTTTCTTTTTTTTTTTTTTTTTGGACAGGCAGAGTGGACAGAGAGAGAGACAGAGAGAAAGGTCTTCCTTTGCCGTTGGTTCACCCTCCAATGGCCGCCGCGGCCGGCGCACTGTGTCCGGCGCACCGCGCCGATCCGATGGCGGGAGCCAGGTACTCATCTTGGTCTCCCATGGGGTGCAGGGCCCAAGCACTTGGGCCATCCTCCACTGCACTCCTGGGCCACAGCAGAGAGCTGGCCTGGAAGAGGGGCAACTGGGACGGAATCCGGCGCCCCGACCGGGACTAGAACCCGGTGTGCCGGTGCCACAAGGCGGAGGATTAGCCTAGTGAGCCGCGGCGCCGGCTTTGTTTTGTTTCAAAAAGGTTCAGTTCCCATTGAGACTACGAGTGCTGCATTCAGATCACGGACTCTGGCACTGTTCTTTAATCCTCGCGTCTTTCCCCCCAAAGCACTTTCCGCTTTGGTTTACTCTAGCTTGAGTCCCATCACCGTCACCCCTCAAAAACCAAATGGCACCCCATCCCCCCACCTACTCGTTCTTTCTTCCTGCATTATGGGGGTGCACACCTGGGGTCGAGAAGTGGGAAAAATGCGCGACTTTCTGACCCAATAGCAACCAAGAATAGCAGCACGCGGGATTTCCTTTTCCTTCTCTGTAAATACCTCAAGCTTCAGAGTCCGAATCAGGTGAGGAGGAGTCGAGACCCGCAGTTCCGAGTGCAGCCTTTGGAAGAAACGACTTCGTGTTTCTGGAAAGAGTCAGGTACAGAAGCCATCGTGTGGAAGGCCCGCCTGCAGTACACAAGCAAACGCACCATTCGGCCACAGTGGGCGCGGCTACTTGTAAACCTCCTAACTCTGCAGCCTCCCGCCACAGCCAACACGCATCTCTCCCAAAGACTAGGAAAGAAAGCAGTGTCATCTGGCCCCCAGCCAAGGGAGACCCTAGATCCCGAAGCCACCGGGTCCAGGCGGTCTAAACATTCAAAGTTGCAAAGCCTGGGCTGCGGGTGGGCGGGAGGGCGGGGCAGCGTGGGGTGGGGGTGGGGGTGGGGGGGCCGGGGTGGGGCATGCGTGCGCGGCGTCACTGCATTGTGACGCTCCCTGGTATATAAGGCCCGGCCGCGCCCCCTCCCCGGCTAGTCCGCTGCAAGCCGCCCTGCTGCCTCCTCCGGAACTTTACGCACGGCTCGCCGACAGCGCTGCCATGGGAGGACGCCTGTTGCTGGGGCTGGGGCTGGGGCTGGGGCTGGGGCTGGTGCTGGCACTGTTACTACCGATGCAGGCTGAAGGCCAGGCTACCCCCGCAGCCGGAGGCTCCACGGCCGCCTCCGCTGCCTCCACCATCACCCTGCAGTCCACAATCAGTCTCCTCGTGGTGTCGCTCTCCCTTCTTCTCCATCTTTACTGCTAAGATGCTCAGGCCCGGAAACATCTTCACGTCTCCCGCCTATCGTGAAACACCCAGTCCAGGTGGCAGCCAGCACCTCCGTGGTGGCCTGCGTGGAACCGACGCTGAGATCTGCCTAGTTTGGTTTGGAGAGCATGGGAAGACCTTGACTCGTGGCCGATGGAGGACGTGACATCTGCAGGGGTTTCCTGCACAGGGACTGAGAGCAGCCAAACTTGGAGCCAGCCATGGTTTCCCGGGAAGAGCCGCGGACTCAGACAACTCCACCTGGAGAAGAGCCATAGTTTTCACCTTGATGTAGAGAAGGGTGGGCGGAAGAGTGGAGGTGATTTTCATTTTGATTCACCAAATCTGTGAGGCCATAAAAACCGATAAACTACCGTGAAAAGCCTCGGCGAGTGTCTGTGTGGGCCTCGGGGGGAGCCGGCCTTTGCTGCCGTCGGGCCACCGGGCTGTCTTCTCTGGGGTTTTGGATTTCACCCTGCCTTTGGGTGCTGCAGTAACTGCCGTGTGCTGGCACGAGGGGCCGGCCATAATGAGTCAGTCTCGTTCATCCTCTCGTGGAGGTGGGAGCCGGGCGCCCCCATCTCCCATCTGACAAGGGCCAGAACCGTGTAGGGCACTTCACCTGGCTCCAGGTAGCAGGAGATGGCTGACTGCGACTTATAAGGCTGCCTTCTCTGGACCCATAGCTGGGGCCCTGCCCCCTTAGCCACACCAGTGGGACATGCTGTCTCCCGGGGCTGGGCGCTTTGCGCTACTCAGAGCAATGAGACCCCAAGGCTCTAGTCACAGAGTCTGAGCTGATGAGCCAAGGCCAGGTCTCAGCCGTGGAGGTATCACTGAGGCAGTGCAGCTGCCCAAAGTGCCGGAACACAATTGTGGGTGTTTTTTTTTTTCTTAAATCCTAATCCGTGGAGTTGTAACCTGAAGTGCTGCTCCGAAATCCTGGGTCCACGACATCAAAGCTTAAAGTCCTTCAAGGAAGCTTTCCTGGGGGCATCACTGAGTTTGCACACTTATTTCACACTCAAGCATAGACTTTAAAAAAAAAACTCTGTTTATTTCACAGGCAGAGTGATAGAAACCGTGGGGAAGTGGGGGGCAGGGAGAGAGAGAGAGGGAAGGAACAAGACACAGAGACAGAGACTCGGGTCTTCATCCCTGGTTCATACCCCAGATGGCCACAATGGCCAGGGCTCGGTGGGCCGGACTAAAGCCAGGAGCCAGGAGCCAGGAGCCAGGAACTCCATCCCGGGTCTCCCACGAGGCTGGAAGGGGCCCAGGCATTTTGCTGCTTTCTCAGTGCATTTGCGGGGAGCCGGGACTCAGATTGGCGCTCCCGTATAGGGTGTTCATGTTTCAAGTGGCAGCGGAGCCACAGCGCTGGCCTTGGCTGTAGCCTTTTGCACTATCTGAGCTGATTCCACTAATGTCAGGAGATGATTTGGGGGAAGTACTTTTGCTTCTGTTAGCTCCAGTCTCACCCCAAAGAAGGGGTATGCGGCTATAGGGTACAGAGGCTGAGCCAAAGAAGGGAAGAGGGAACACCCGGGGGCAGCACTTAAACGATATTAAAAACAGAGACAGAGAGAGAGGCAGAAAGAAAAAGAGGGAGGATCTTCCACCTGTTGGTTCACTCCCCAGATGGCTGCACGGCCAGGGCTGAGCCACGCTGAAGCCAGGAGCCAGGAACTTCATCCAGGTCTCCCATGTGGGGGCAGGGGCCCAAACACTTGAGCCATCCTTCACTGCTTTTCTCAGGCCATTAGCAGGGAGCTGGATTGGAAGTAGAGCATCTGGGACATTAATGGGCACTCATATGGGATGCTGGCATTGCAGGTGGTGGCTTTACTTGCTATGCCCCAATGCCCGCCCCCTGGGAGCAGCATTTTAAAACAAGTTCACTGTCATCACCATCACAACACAAGAGGAGTTTTTGCCTAGAAGGAAGTGGAGACTCACAGAGGGCCACTCCCCCAGGCTCTCCTCTGGCCAGAGCCAGTGCCTGGACCGGAACCCAGGCCTCTGACGTCACAATGCAGGTGCTGTTCAGTACCTGATGTTTCCAGGGAGACCTGCAAACAACCAACAGGATCCTCCGTGGATGGGCTGGGAGCCATGTCGGGCCCTTGGCTGACGTCAAGGCAGGTGCTCATAGGGTTGCTTCCATCAGCAGTAAACTGCCAGAACCCAGCCGGGTGGCCCGGGCTCGAGCGGTCGGGGCTTGCTGGGTGAACATACCCTGTATCCCAGCTCTGCCCCACACGACCTCGCTCCTCCGAGCCTGTCTCTCCACCTGGAACACGGAGAGAGTGACCCTTTCTCTACCTTAGTGTTGTCAGGAAGATAAAATCAGAGCTGCAGGCACAAGGCAGGTGCAGAATAGGAACCACGCAAGGCGCAGAGAGGCCAGTGGCTTTTCACTGTAGTCTCATAGACGTCCAAGCGTCCGGGTCCCAGCTGCAGCTGAACAATGACTGCTCTTCCCACTGGGGACATTTCAGGAAGACAGCAGCAATGGGGCTGGTGTCTGTCCTGGTGCTGCAGGCATGGCCTGCATTCAAATGGTCCTGCATTCAAACTCTGGTGCCACCCAAAGCCAGCAGTCTTCTTACCACCCTCTTTTGTACCAGGCTGCTTGTTGGCACGTGCTGTGGTCCCCACATACAGCTAGGGAAGCCGGCTTGCTCAGTGCTGCCCTGTACTTAAGTGGTGGACTTGGGCTCAGGCCCTGGCTGGACCTGGTGACCCAGAACTCGGAGGTGCTTTGACAACAGGCTTCAGTGGAACCACCTAACTGTGGTTGTGAATTTTGGTTTCCGTTTTATAAAGAGAGAGCAGAACCTGGAGGCCCAGAAAAGTCCCCAAGCCCAGCTGGAGTCTGGGGGTTCCCCAAGGGGCAGCTGTAGAGACGGGCCCCACGGGAGGCTGCCTGGGTGGTGCAGAGAGGCCTGCGCTGTGTCTGCATCAGGGCGTACGTGTGTGTGCACCTGGGGTGGCCAGACGCCCCAGCCCACTCCCACTCAGGAGCCGGGGAGAGAGGCCCTCGCACTGGCAGTGGACTTGGTGGAACAGACGGCTGTGTCTTCAGGATTGAACAGGGAAAATTTATTGTATTTTGTTTACTTGGCTGGGGGGAAGCGGAGGAGAGAAATAGACTGCCATCCACAGATTCACTCCCCGAATGCCTGCAACAGCTGGGATTGGGTTGGGTTGAGGCTGAGAGCAGGAATTCGGCTCAGGTCTCCTACAGAGGCGGCAGGGGCCCAAGTCCTCACCGCTGCCTGCCAGGGTCTGCACAGGCAGGAAGCGGGATCAGAGCGGGGTCGGGTGCTGAACCCAGCTACGCTGATACGGGGTTTGGCTCAAACACCTGCTACAAACAGAGGAATCATGGGCCATGGCTGTGCTGTAATGGACAGCATAGAGCGCACTCCACAGAGTGCCCTGGTCAGGCCAGGGGCCCTCCCGAGTCTGGGATCCATACGTCAGGGGAGAAGAGGAGGTCTCAGCTGCTGGCCAGAGGAGAACTTGACCGGGCTGCCTGGGCCTGAGCTTCGCTATCCCCAGTGGGCCGGAAACTCCCTTATGGGGAACAGGCAGGCTAGACTAGTGGAGGGGTGAGTGGAGGAAGTCCCCTGCTCTGTTGGTTGGGTGGTCCGAGGCCTGGGTCTGTGGTGTTTGTGCCATGGAAACTGCATGAAGAGGCCTGCTCCTGGCTTCCTGTGTGCGTCCAGCAATGCCTCTTTCTGCTCCCAAGGTCTGAGCTGAGGTTCCTGCCACCAGCAACCACAAGCACCCCGAGTCCATGGCGGCCAGTGCGCCAACACAGGTGGGACCCCTGCCTGCGCTCCCAGTCCTGCTTTTCCCTCCACCTCCCCACCTGTGACATTGACAATGGCATAACTTGCTTCATCCGGTGAGGCAGGACCTCTGCACAATCCCATTTATGATGGAGGAGACTGAGGCTGTGACCCATGAGGTTACACTGCTGGTAAGTGGTAGACCCAAGACTGGAGCCTGGGTGGGGAATCTGGCCACGGCCCTCTCTGTTGTGGGGATAACCTGTCTGCTCAGTACCCCCAGGTGCAGTGGCTGTCTCCTCTCCCATGTGGCTGCACCCCTTCCTGGAGGCGGAGCCCTGGGACACAGCTGGGTGGAACAGGTTCTTGTTGTGCAAGAGTTCAGACGAGGGGCCGGTGCTGTGGCGTAGCGGGTAAAGCCGCTGCCTGCGGTGCTAGCATCCCATGAGGGCACGGGTTTATGTCCTGGCTGCTCTACTTCTGAACCAGTTCCCTGCTAATGGCCCAGGAAAAGCTGCAGAGGATGGCCCAAGTGCTTGGGCCTCTGCTACCCACATGAGAGGCCTGGAAGAAGCTCCTGGCTTTGGTCTGGCCCAGCCCTGGCCATTGAAGCCATCTAGGGAGTGAACCAGTGGATGGAAGATCCCTCTCCCTGTGTAACTCTGATTTCAAACAAATAAATAAATCTTAAAAAAAGAATTCAGGCATGAGACCGAGAGGAGTGGGAAGCAGGGTAGCGAGGTGTAATGGGGCAGGGGCCTCCGTCAGAAAGGGTGGGAGCTCTCCAGATGGAACCCGAGAGAGAGCCCAGCCGGTCAGACTGGGGAGTGATGTCATGGAGAGAAGACACCTGACAGGCCAGGCGGGCGGCTCAGGAAAGAGCTGAGAGCTGAGCTCTGGCTCTGGGCAGAGATGTCCCTGGGGTGCCTTCCCTGGGGGCAGGCTGGCACCCCTGTAAAGTTATCAGGGTACTGCGGACTCAGTAGTCTGAGACTGGGCTTCCAAGGTGTGCTGCTCAAGCCCCTATAGGCTGCTGCGTTCCTTCAGCACCTGTCGCACACCAAGGCTAATTGCTAACTCCCTACCTAGCAGCTGGAGGTTGGTACACTATAGCTTCCTGGGCACCTCCCCCAGCGCTGTCTAAGGCCCCAGCGGGCGGGCACAGAGCAGACTGTGACGCCCCCAGTCACTGTGCCTGAGCGCCTGCGACCTTCTCCCTCAGCATCGTTCTTCTCCCAGGGGCTGAGCTTGACTGGGGAACTCCCTCCCCCCCCCCCCCCCCGGCCTCGAGAGAGCTCAGCTCACAGTAGCCCTTGTTTATTCCACAGCACGCAGCGACTGCACTGGGCCTGGGAACAGATGAGCAGCACAGTGCTGGCTCCCCAGGGAGCGGCCCACTACCCTATGGGGGGACATGCAGGTGCACAGACTCTGGCGGCTGGATGGGAGGTCCCTCGAGGGTCCTCAGGGCTCCAGGAGCAGCAGCTTGGGATAGGGCACCCAACTCCACTTGGCTCAGGGGAGGGGACTTCCATAGGGCAGGGCCCAAGGACTTAGGCCATCTTCTACTGCTTTCCCAGGCCATAGCAGAGAGCTGGATTGGAAGTGGAGCACCCGGGACTCGAACCAGTGCCCATATGGGATGCCAATGCTTCAGACTGGGGCTTTAACCCAGTGCACCATACCGCTGCCCCTCCAGGGAAGGAGTTTGTGCCTCAATCCTGAGACAGCCAGGGAGGTGTCTGAACACAGGTGTTGTCCTTTCTTGTCTGGTTTTGATGTTAATTATTCCACATAGTTCTGACCGCTCCTGGCCAGGCTGAAACCAGAAGCCAGGAACTCCATCTGGATCTGCCATGTGGGTGACAGGGGCCCAAGCACCGGGCCATCATCTGCTGCCTTCTCAGATGCACTAGCAGGAGCTGGGTTGGAAGTGGAGCAGCTGGGACTCGAACTGGTGTCGCAAGCATCTGCTTCCCCTGCAGTCCCACAAATGCCTGCGTTGTGTTGTTTTTTTTTTTTTTTTTTTTTTTTTTTTGTGTGTGTGTGTGTGTGTGTGTGTGTTTGACAGATGCCTTTAATGGCCACAGCTAACTTTTATGTCCCTGTTGGTGACATGATGATTTGGGTCACTTCACTATCCTTGTCATCATCTTAGGGGAGCCAATTACAAGAAGGTAAAGTGCTGACATCGGTCACTGCCGTCCATCATATTTGTAAGCTCTTGCTGTGTCAGGGCTTCTTCCTGGAACTTGGAACCTGTCAACTCTGCAGTGTCACATGCACCCAGGAGGCACCGCGGGAGGCCTAGAGCCTTCAATGATTTGCTGCGGTGCTCAGCTCGATGTGGCAGAGCCCTGGTGAGACGGCGGCTGTCTGGTCCCAGGGCACACGGCTGCCACGCCCTGAGTCATCCATCCCCTAAGGGTTCTGTTGCACAGAAGGTTTGCACACCCATGGCCAGCAGCTGATTCCACCACCAGGCCCTGAACCTTCCAGGGCACTGTGGGTCTCACTCATCTGTGTCCCGGTGCCCAGGAGCATAACCATTGAATGGGTGCTGGCTGACCCACTGCCACCCCTAGCCTGTCCCTGGTCAGACCCATCGCTCTCAGGGTGCACTGTGCACTGTGCTTCATAACTGATGAGAAGGACACCCGCTGTGTGGTGGCCACCACCTTGGTCAGATGGGCGAGGCTCTGCCCGGGTGACCATGGAAGTGGCTTGGCCAACAAAGGGGCCTTTCTTGCTTATGCCCTGTGTCCACTGTGGGCCAGCGGAGAGGCCCTGCTCCCCAGGGTCACTCAGGGCCCTGGGGAGCAGGGCAGCCACCATCTCACTTCACACAGAGGGGAAAGTGGGGTGCAGGCAGTGCTGGATCTGGACGTAGCAGTTATACTCCTGCCCCACGGTGCCACCCAGCCTGACGGGTGGGGTGTATCCCGCTGTGTGCTGGAAAGGGGCAGAACTGAAGTATTTTGCTGACCACCAAGGCAGCCCAGTGTCTCTGTCCCGACCTCCCCTCCCCCCATTCCGGCCGTGAACAATGACGGTGAGGAGAGGCAGCTGCTTTCTGCCCACGGTCTCTGTAATCCCGGCCCTAGAGTGATCCTAGCGCATGGAGGCCCAGAGCAGCTGAAAGGCTGGCCCAAGATCTCATAGCCCAGGAGTGCGAGGGGTGAAGCCCAGCCTCTCTGGCCTGAAGCTGATTGGTCCCCTTCTCTCTGAGGCCACCAAAGTTCCCCACCCCCATCCAGAGGAGGAGAGGCAGACTGTGCTGCAGACCCTGGCTGGGTGCCCAGGGAGAGGTAAGGAGGAGACCTGTGAGCATGGCCTGGCCGGGTGGGTGCAGAGGAGGAGGAGGAGGAGGAGGAGGAGGAAGAGGAACTGGGGGGGAGAGAGTAGACCTCGCTGGATGTGGGGGTGGGCTGAGCTCTGGGTCTGGGCGGCGGCCCGGAAGGAACTAAGGTCAGGAAGCCCCGGGGAGCCTGGCTGAACCCCAGCTTCTGACTGCCAGGTGTGGGTGGGCTCGAGTCTGCATTTCTAGCAACCTCCCAGGTGCTGCCCGGCTGCTGGCTCCAAGGTCACACTTTGAGCAGCCTGAAGGGAGAAGGTGGGGCACAGGCAGACCTGGGCTGGAACCCCGGCCCTCTGCCGCCTAATAAATTATACCCAAGATCCTTTTCCACAAAAGCCTAGAGCGTTGGCATCCAAGATGCAGGCCAGGGAAACCCATGCCCCTTTTACCCAGTCTGCAGGGCACAGAAGACTACCCCTCCCTCTCCTCTGCATGGAAACTCTGGGGACATTGTGGCCATTTGGGGACTGAATCAGCAGATGGAAGATCTCTCTCTGTCTGTCCTCTTTCTCTCTCTAATTGACTTTCAAAGAAATAAGTAAATAATTTTTTAAAAAGTTTATGTTAGTACAAAATTAAAATCCATAGTCTTCAAAGTTTATGGATATGGGGCCAGCATTGTGGCATAGCTGGTAAAGACACCACCTGTGATGCCAGCATCCGGCACTCCATGTGGAAGCTGATTTGAGTCCCAGCTGCTCCACTTCTGATTCAGCTCTCTGCTAATGGCCTGGGAAAACAGCAGAAGATGGCCTGAGTGCTTAGGTCCCTGACACCCATCTGGGAGACCCAGATGAAACTCCTGGCTCCTGGCTTCAGATGGGCCAAGCTCCAGCCCTTACAGCCATTGGAGAGTGAACCAGCAGATGGAAGATAACTCTCTCTCTCTCTCTCTCTCTCTCTGTCTCTCTCTCTTTCAAATAAATCTTTTTCAAAAAAGCACATTATGAAAAGACTATGCATGGACTCTTTTTTTTTGCACCAATGTGAACTTATGTTTCAATTTTATTTTAGAAGAAATATGCCCTAGGCCATTAACTTTATTCCTTTCTTCTTTTATAAGTAGCAAAAGGTTGCATTTCCTTCTAAGTACTGTTTTTTACTTAAAAAAAGCTTAAAATTTTTGATGTGTTTTATCCTTCATTTCAAAATATCTTTAAAAAGTTACGTGTGATTTTTTTCTTTAACCCACTGGTTATTTGGATGTGAGTTATTTTGTTTCCAAATACTTATTCATTTATTCATTTGTTTAATGATGTTGTGGCTATAGTTCATACACTGTTGATTTTTAATCCCCTAAATATCTTAAATTTGAGCCCTGCTTTGTGGTTCAAACTGGGGTCTGTCTTGGTGTATATGTGCACTAGTAGAGAATCTGTATCCAACTGTTGATGTGTGAAGTATTCTATAAATTATATCAGTTAGCTCAAGATGGTGTGTGCAAGTATTTCTATATTTGTTTCTTTCCTTTATAATTTTTTTTTACTTAACATGTAATCCTGTGGCACCTCTACAGGCACAGTGCAGTGTTTCAGCAGGTGCACCCCGTGTTACTGATCAGATCAGCGTCCTGCTCCCCACCCTTCCTCCACGTGTGGACCCCACCAGTTCTTTTCCTCCGGTCCTTCATACCTTGTATTGTGGAGCACAGTCGCCCCACTGTGCTGGGGACACAGAACCCACAGAACCCACTGCTGCACCTGGCTGTGTTTTGTGCCTTTTAATCCCACCTCTCTCTATGCCACCCCCTCTCACCCCTCCCAGGCTCTTGCAATCACTGTGCTAACTTCGGATGGGCTCTCCTATATGAGCGAGGATGTGTGGAGTTTGTCTTTCTGTGTCTGGCCTATTTCACTCTAATGCCCTCCAGTTCTGTGCATTTTGCTGCAAGCATCAGGATCTCATTCTTCCTATGGCTGCCATGCCACCATGTGTCTTCACTGCATTTTCTTTGCCCAGCCGTTCATCTGGGGAGGCCCAAGGAGCCCACGTCTTGGCTGCTTGAGTAGTCATGGACTTCATGTTTCTCCTTTTGATTTTCTTATTTCTTGCTCCATGTATTTTGAAGCTCTGTAATCGGATGATTTGATGCATAAATACATTAAAAATGCTATATTAAAGGCAAACTGGTCCTTTTGCAATGTCACGTACTCTTCGACCTGTTGAACATCAGCACCATGGGTCTGCTTTGCTGACGACAATGCAACTGTTCTGGGTTTCCTCTGATTAATGTTCCCATGGTGCACTTCCCCCACTCTTTCAGCTCCTCTGTCTTTTGCATGTAAAGTGAGTGGGTTTGCTATAGACAACATAGTCATCCCTTTTTTATCCAATATAACAGTATCTACTTTGTAGTTGGAAGTTTAGCCAAATTGCAATTAATATAATCATAATAGGGTTAGATTCAAGTGTATCAAGTCTATCTATTAGGTGGTATTTATTTTCTGTTCCATTTTTCCTGGTATCTTTTGAACAGGCTGTACATTTTTAAAGATTTATTTATTTATTTGAAAGGCAGAGATTTACACAAAGAGAGATAGGGAGAGTCTGGGGGAGAGAGAGAGAGAGAGAGAGAGAGAGAGAGAGAGAGAGAGAGAGAGATCTTCCATCCATGGGCTGGGCCAGGCTGAAACCAGGAGCCGGTAACTCCATCTGGGACTCCCAAATGGGTGACAGGGGCCCAAGCACTTGGTCCATCTTCTGCTGCTTTGCCAGGTGCATTAGCAGGGAGTTGGAGCTCATATGGGATGCAAGTGACACAGGTGGCTTAACCCGCTGTGCCACAATGCCGGCCCTGTGTGTGTATTTCTTATTATTTGTATTGTTTTCTTATTAGTTATACTTTTTAAAAAATTTACATTGTAAAAGCTTCTCTCTTTTTTTAAAGATTTATTTATTTATTTGAAAATCAGAGTTACACAGAGAGGAGAGGCAGAGAGAGAAAGAGAAAAGTCTTCCATCCGATGGTTCACTCCCCAGTTGGCTGCAATGGCTGGAGCTGCACCGATCCCAAGCCAGGAGCCAGGAGCGTCTTCCGGGTCTCCCACATGGGTGCAGGGGCCCAAGGACTTGGGCCGTCTTCTACTGCTTTCCCAGGCCATAGCAGAGAGCTGGATTGGAAGTGGAGCATCCAGTTCTCGACCAAGTGCCCATATGGAATGCCAGTGCTCCAGGCCAGGGCGTTAACCTGCTACACCACAGCGCTGGTCCCAAAGCTTCTCTTTTTAAAATGCAAATTTAACATGGCAGGTCCTCTTCAAATATTATATCGCATCACATGTAATATAAGACCTTTACAGCAGTGTACGCTCATATTCCCCATTCCATCCTTTGCGCTAAGTTTTATAAAGATTTCTTTATTTACTTATCTGAAAGGCAGAGAGAGAGAAATAAGGGGAGAAGGAGTGAGATCTTCCGTCTGCTTGTGCAGGGTCTTAGTCCACCCGAACAAGGATGGACTGGGTCCAAAGAAAGGTAGGTGTGCCACTCGCCCGTTCCCCAGCCCCCCGATCCCGGGGACAGTCAGACGCATTGGGGAGTCAGGTCAAGTAAGCAAGAACTCCGTTTATTGCGTGTGTAGCAAAACCTTTTAAAGCACAAAACTGCAGAGTCATTGGGGCAGGGCATAAGGACCAACCAATTACTTAAAAGGTCATTTTATGGGGCGATTTTTTACAGAACCAGCCGCATGTCTGTACACTCATCATCAGTTGTCATCACCTCCCCTGGTGCTGCGCGGCCAATCAGCTTCGGTGGTAAACAACTTTGGATACTGTCCACCTTACTTCCTTTGGGCGCCATCTTTGAATTGCCTCGTGTGCCTAATTTCCCCACACGCTTGGTCACTCTACAAATGCCTGCAACAGGCAAGGCTTCCTAGGTGGATTAGCAGGAGGCTGGATCAGAAGCAGAGCAGCCAGGACTCGCACTGGCGCTCCTTGGAGTGCAGGCGCCCCTAGTGGCGGCTCAGCCCGCTGCACCACAATGCACACCCTTTTGTGCTGTTGCTTCCATACCTTTTTTTCTACATGTTATAGACCACATTCTACATTGCTATTATTCTGGCTTTAAATGATGATCCTTGAAACACATCTTAAAAATTAGTCAAATTTCTTTTCAGTGGATTCACATAGTCACCATTTCCCGTGCTGCTACACAGGTGGTAGATCTGAGTTTTCATCCATTGCCGTTTAAGAGCTTTCTTTAACATTTCTTGTGGTACAGATCTGATGGTGAAAGTTGTTCAGCTTTTTGTTTATCTGAAAAAACAAAGCTTTAACTGTGCCCTTATTTGCCATGTTTGAAGGGGATTCTCCTTGGGGACAGAATTCTAAATTGACCCTCTATCCTTCTCTCCTTTTGGGCTCCAAATTTGTTTGTTTGCATCGACTCTGCCCTCAAGCCCTTGATGATTCCCTGTGTGAGTTCAGTGTCTTTTCTTGCTCCCCTCCCCGGGGCCCTCCTCTCAGCCACCGCAGATCTGCAGGGCCTGCTGTCCGGTGTCTGACAGCTGCTTCGTGGGCTTTGTCCATTTTCCATCTGTTTGTGGGATAGTGGTGACACACATCTAGTACCGGTCACTCCATCATGACCAAAGCAAAACTCAGACAGTGGGCTTTTGTGTTGAACACACACGAGTTTGGATTCTGATGTCACCGGGGACTAGCTGTGTGACCTTGGCCATGTTAACTTGGCCGCTCCAAGCCTCTGTTTTCTGATATATAAAATGATTTACACCTGCTGCTGCTCAGGGCTAGTCCGGAGATGAAATGACATCATGTATATAAAGTTAACCATCTGGTGGCTGGCATGTGGTAAGTGTTCACCAAATAAAAAGTCGTGCTGTGGATAATGTCATGGTCCCCAGGCTTCTGCAAGATGCCACAGTATCTAAGATCCTAGCGATGGAGCTTCCCAACCCCCGCCGGCCTTTCCAGTGGCGGACTGTGCTGTGAACTCTGCTAGCAGTCATGAGAAGTTAATAAGCATCCGCTGGCTCCTGCCCGCTGCTTCGAGCACCCTGCTGCTGACCCACTGGACGCCCGGCGCCTTCTCAGGTGGCCCCAAGGGCCTGCCGCTGGTTCCCAAGGTGTTGCCGCAGAGGGGCTCCAGCTGGGATCTCACTCCACACGCTGCCCCCCGGACTCCGTCCCTTCATCTTACAGGAAATCAGAGGCTCTCACGGTAACGTGTCTGGATTAGAGTTAATGTGGGAACGGATTTCTGCAAGGCAGGCCCTGGTGGATACACTAATCCCCTCCGCATGCAGAGCTGTCAGGGCTGCCTTTGAGGAGTGGGGAGGGGAGCAGGGGGAGCGGAAGGGAGAAGGGGGAGGAGCGGCTGGATTCCAGGTGGGTTTGTTTGCTCTACTCGCTCCAGGTTATCTTTAAATGGGATAAAAATATCTCTTAATCCTCTTTATCTCAGTTCAGTGCTTCTAGAAAAGAGACACTTGACATTTAAGGTTGCGGAAAAGGAAAAAAAAGGTGCGAAAGGCTCGTAATATTCAGTGGCAGCCGTAAAGATGGAGACATTTCGGGGGGCTCATGTGAGCAGCCTCAGTGTCTTGGAAAATGAGAGCAGGCGAGGAGGGAGGCGAAACCAGCACCCAGCCCCCGCTGGGAAAGCCCCCACCCCCACCTACACACACTCACACACACACACACACACACACACATACCGTGTCCTCGACGTCATCTGTGTTCCAGGATGGAGGAGCAGGCCCTTGTGTCCTCCTCGTGCTCTGAGGCTGCCCCACCCCCCCCATCTGCTTCTGAGCCTTTTTGCTGTTTCAGCCCTCTACAAGGCTCGACCCTTTGGGGCCCATCGCCTGCCTGCAAAGCGGAACTGTTCAGGTTGGAGACGTGCGCCTCCCGGCACCACCCGTGGAGTATTCTGCATCTTTGCTTTGCCATCGCTAGTGAGAAATGCAAACGGTGTGTTCAGAGTGAGCGGTGCATGGTGAGGCCAGCCTGGAGCTGAGCAAGCTGCTTTTGATCCACCTCTAACCAACCACTAGGCAGGTGCCCATGACCTCGTGCCCATGAGGACAGGGTCTCACGGCTCTGGGATCTTGGGGATGGGTCTTTGGCCCTGATCCCAGGAGAGGTTGAAATTCTCAGTATCTCGAAATGCTCCAGCTCAAGGTAAGAGGCAACCCATGGCCGTGACACCCACATTTGAGGACCGGGAACAGACATCTCCGGGCAGTTGGAAAACAGCACCGCTGGTCTCAGAAACACAGCGTCACTCATTTAGGGTGTGCTGTGCTTTTTCTTAGTGGAACTTCCTGGAAGTGGATCCATCCAAAAGCCTTGGGTGCATACTGCCCTGACTGTCTGGGTTCCAATCTTGGCTCCACCGTCTGCTCACTACGTGACCGCAGGCAAACGAGTTCACTTCTCTGGGCCTTTGCGACCTCGTACGTAAGGAGGAGGAATGATAACACCGCCTCCCAGGTTAGTGCAGGGAAAGCATTGAGCTTCCTGCATGAGCAGCTACGATTATCAGTCTTCACCGTCGCTATTGTCATTGTACTTGGAGCGTTTTCCAGGAACGTCGTGCCAATTGTGTGCCCACAAACAGGTTATGAGGGCTCCTCCCAGCTGCTTCAGAAATAGCATCAGGGACCCAGGAGAGCTGGATTTTGCCTCGATTCTGCGCGTGACGCAGCGGACAGTGTCGTAGGGCTCTTTCCCCCCTCACTCTGTGTCTCTGTTTTCTCATCTGTGGAAGGGGCCCACGTGCTGTGCGACTCCTGGCGCTGCTTCCAGGCCAATGTACGTGCGAACGGAAGCAGCCAGAAGACACCGCGCTCCTTTCAATTGAACAAACCCCTCCCTAGCCATCCTGTGGGTTCGTCGAGATCTTTCAGTGCTGGGATGAGTGTGTGTCCCCCAAAGTTCCTGTGTGGAAGCTCCATCCTTCATGCCATTGGGGAGGGGGCAGGCGGTGGGAGGGGCAGAGCCCTGGGGTGGCGGGGGTGAAGCTGCTTGGTCCACCTCTGGCTCTTTGTCTCGGGCAGTGTCTCTTGCCTTTCTATCTCTGCCACGAGACAACACAGCCAGAATGCGGCGCCTGGACTCCCCAGCTGGAGAGAAAGAAATCCCTTTTCTATACAAGTTATTGGCCTAGGGCATTCTGTTATAGCAACACACACAGAGACTAAGATGTTCAGTCAAACGGGTTTCATGAGCAGGGCCACGGTTACCTTCCTTGCCCCCTGGTTTGTGGTCCCTTCTGGCACCTGTGCTGCCTGCAGCTGTGGGCTCCTGCACGAGTGTGTGGAGCCCGCCCGGGAGGCACTGGGCTCGTGGCGCGCATGGACGGACAGAGGGGCTCCCTCGTCTGGCCTTTCCCTCATCTCCTCCTTCTGCACCTGGACATCCTGTACCTGCCCTGTGTCAAACAGTTTTATCACCAGAGAAAAGAGCTGGGGAAGCCATGGCGTTCTGTCTTCACACAAGAGAGAATTCAGGCGTGAGACAGAGAGCAGAGTGACAATGTTTTATTGGGGACAGGGCATCCATCAGAACGGAAGGGATAGGGAGAGAGCGTCAGACACCTGGACTTGGGGAGAGCGGGGCTCCATGGCTGAATGGAGAGAATACACCCGGGCAGGCCAGGCGGGCGGCTCGGCACAGAGGCAGAGGGCTGAGCGCCCGGTCTGTTTGGACTCCCTAGGTTTTTAAGGGAGTCTGTTTACCCACCTCCCCCTTTCCTCCAGGACAAAGGATGGGGAGTCCTGGTGGAAGGGTTTGTTGGGTGAAAAATTAGCAAATTCCTCTCCAGATTTGCTGGCACTGGGCAGAGCAGAGGGACTTCTCTTAGGGTGTCTGTGAAGGTTTCATTGTCCCATGTTATCAGGTGACCCACTTGGTCCTGAGGAGAGAGAATTCTGGGAGCTTTCCCTGGGGGAAGGGCTGGGACCACCTGGGAGGATATCAGGGTCTGGGCAGGACTTTGAAGTGCAAGATGCTGGGCTTCTGGGGCTTCCACCATAGGTGCTGGTCTCCAGGCCCTTCCTCACACACACACAGGCCAATTCCTGACTTCCTACCTCACAGTTCTAGGCACTTGGAATGTGGCCATGGAGAGCACAGCCCAAGGTCAAACCTTGTTGGGGCATTTCAGAAAGGGAGGCAGAGAGTAAATCAGGCAGTGCTACCAGGCGGGTTTCCAACAGTAGTGGTGTTCCTGAAGGGAATAAAGGCCGTGGGTAAGAAGGGGGCCTGGGCTAGGGATGCAGGGGTGTTGAGTTTGACAAGATGAGAGAACGTTTCAGAAGAGGCTTGCTTTGGAGGGAAAGAGCTGGCCATGTTGAAATTTGAGGCACAGAGCTTCAGACAGGGAACCAGCAAATACACAGGCATAAGAGGTAGTTGGTGTGGGGCTGGCCTTTGGCATAATGGGTAAAGCCACCACCTGCAATGCCAGCATCCCATATGGGTGCTGGGTCAAGTCCTGGCTCTTCCACTTCTGAACCAGCTCTCTGCTGTGGCCTGGGAAAGCAGCAGAAGAGGGCCCAAGTCCTTGGGCCCCTGTGCCCATGTCAGGGACCCGGAGGAAGCTCCTGGCTCCTGGGTTCGGACTGGCCCAGCTCCAGCCATGTGACCAACTGGGGAGTGAACCAGCAGATGGAAGATTGATCCCTCTCTCTCCTGACCTCCCCCCCCGCCCCGCCTCTGCCTCTCTGTAACTCTGCCTTTCAAGTAAATAAAGAATCTTAAAAAGAAAAAAAGAGGTAGCTGGTGTAGTGGTTTGAAAAAGAGAGAAGGAGAGAGAGAGAGAGAGAGAGAGAGAGAGAGAGAGAGAAATCTTTTATCTACTAGTTCACTCCCCAAATGCCTGCTGCAGTGGGGATCAAGCCAAGCCAAAGCCAGGCTCTGGGAACTCCGTTTTGGTCTCCCAGGTCAGTGGCAGAACTCAGCTCTTGACCTGTCATCCGCTGACTCCCCGGCTTATCAGCAGGAAGACGGCTGGGAGCAGAGTGGAGGCAGGATTCGATTCCAGGCCCTTGTGTGTGGGGTGCAGGCATCCGAGCAGTGGCTTCCCCTGCTGCCCCCTTGAATGTTTCTGAAGCTCACTTGGGGACAAAAGCTCAGGGCAAGTCTTGAGGGCAGAGATCCGTGGATGATGGCCAAGGCCCCTCCAGGCTGATGACTTCCTGACTGAAGGGTTTAAAAACGATTTGCTCATTTCAGTAGCATAATTGTCACTTCTGCCACAAGGCAGGACCTGCAAAAAGTGTTTGAAACCATACATGCAAGGAGCCATCACAAGCTGCACGTTATGAGAAAATGATGCACCGATTTCAAAATGTTTGTCCTCAAATAAACATCCTCTAAATCCATTAAACCCACCAACTTGATGACGTGGCTGCCTAGGGGAGAGAGCTGGCAGCACAGGGAGAGCTGTACTTTCCTGACCGGCACTCACCCTCGGCCCAGGCCTGGACAAGAGGGCCAGGCGGGCCCCTGGAGGTGACCTCGGGGCCATTGGGCAGAGTTCTGGGCTCCCAGAGTGAGGTCTGAGGGGGTCCCCGTCCAGCCAGGCCCTTCCCTTGAATCTGCAGAGTCCTCACCTGGGGACCCGAGGGCAGGGGAAGGGGCCCCGGGCGGGGGCCTCACAGCCCCTTACCTGGCTTAGATCAGGGCCTCGCCTGCCTTCCCATTCCCTGCTCCAAGCTCGAAGACTGAAGACCCAAAGGAGCCCCCTTGGTGGTGCCCCTGCCCGAGCTGCCTGCTGCCCCAGCCCTGCCTGTCTCAGCTCACAGGGGAGTGCGGTGGAGGGAGCCATTGAGTCCGCGTGAGTCAGCACCCGGCTGCTCCTAGCGTCCTGCGTGTGGCAGGAGCAAGGGGCAGCCTCAAAGCCCAGGCTTCTGCTCACTGAGCTGATGTGGCCATGATGTCAGAAGGGCCTCGGCTGTGATGGACTTGGGGAAGGCCACCAGGCATCAGGTAGGCGTCAGGTAGGGTAGAGCTGACCGCACCCCCCACCCCGGGCTCCGGGCGCTCAGCTGCAGGACAGCCTCCAGCCCTGTCCATCACCTCCAGCCCTGTGGTCACCTTCAGGTCCTGCTGCTGGGAGCAACTCGCTGGAGCCAGAGCTTCTCCGTGGTTCTCGCTGGTGGGGGTGGGGGTGGGGGGCAGGGAGGGGGAGCAATAGCTGCTGAGTGTGCCCTGCGGGCCGTGGGGGGCTCGGCCATTCCCTGGAGTCTCTCAGCCTCTACCCAGCTGGCCCAGGAGGGAGGAGATGGGAGGCAGAGAGGGGGCCGCCTGCCCTTCCTGGGGCCGTGCAGCCTTTGCTGGGCGCGTCTGTGCCCCCGACACTGCGAGGCACAGGGAACACAGAGCCCGCCCTTAGGAGCTGAAGGGGGAGTCCTCGATGGCGAGAGGGAGGCACAGAGGAAGGAACCCAGGCTGCGGGATCCCACGGGAGCCTTTCTCGAGGGAGTGCAGGGTCTGGATCGAGGACGCACCAGCATCAGCCAGGCGAAGAAAGGTGGAAGGGGTGCACCTGGCAGAGGGAACAGCACTGTGAGGGCCTGGGGAAAGAGAGGAGCCAGGAAGTTCAGGGTTCAGAAAACTGGCTAAGGGGAACTCCAGGAGCTGCTGCAAGCGCGGGGCTCCCCGTCACTCTAGTGGGTGTCCCTCTGAAGCCCAGGGGCCTAGGGCCACCCAGGAAACCGTCACGAGGGATACGGCCAAGGGCACATGCAGCTTGGTGGTGGCCTCAGCCCCTCGCTGCTCCCCAAGTGCCAGCACTGAGCTTCCTGGCAGGGAGGGGGCGGGAGGGGAATCAGAAGGGCTCTGCAGGGGCGCGGGCCGAGATGCCTTGACGGCGAGCTGAGTCTGTGGCATTCACCTTGGGAGAAGCAGCGGCCCCACGTCCAAGGCTGCACTGGCAGTGTCTGTGGCTGCTAAAGGCTCTCAAACGCTGAGTAGGTGCACATGCCAGGCTCTGTGCTAAGGACTGGATGTGGGTCACTTCCCTGCACCCTCTCAGCTGCCGCACGGGGGACAGGGTAACGTTCCCTTGTTGTGAATGAGAAACCTGGATCTCATGCATCAGAGCTTGGTTGGGCACCTGCTGTGTGTCCAGGTTCTGCGCAGGTGTGGGCAGGATGCAGACCCTGCCCTCAGGGGATCATGTCACCTGCTGTGTCCATGCAAGAGGGGTCTGCCCCGGGTGTCCCTTGTCACCAGCGAGGATCCTTTGCTGCACTCAGTGCAGTCAGTGAGCACCTGCTGTATTCTTGGCTGTGTGCAGGGTGTCGCTCCCCCTCTTCGTGGAGGAACGACACAGGACCCTGCGCTGTTCTTTCGTCTGCTCGGCCTTCCCCGGGTTTGCTGCTGGTTCTTCCCGGGTTGGCTACTGTCCCTTCCACCTCCGTGGAAGGGCAGTTCCCCCTGGCCACATTCCCCACTTCCACAGGGGAGCGGCACACCGCCGGCCGGCTCTCTCGGGGGCTGCACAGGCGTTCCCCTTAGATGTTCCCCTTAGATGTTCCTGGTGCATGCTGTCTCTCTCCTCCTTTATAGTCCTCCTCCGCCAATCCCAACTTGGCTGCCCACACGCCGAGCACGCCGCTCTCCTCCAATCAGGAGCAAGTCCTACAGTTTATTGGCTGAACTGGAGGCAGCTGTGTAGAAGTTGTTTATTCCTCTCCCAGTGCCATATTGTGGGAGAGCAGATGCATAGAATAAGTCTTAATTCCAGTAACTCAGTCCAGTCCGGGTTGCTCCCCACACAGGGGCCTGGGATACAGCTGTAGCCAAGGCAGGCATGCAGTGGTCTTTGTTATCCTTGGGAAGGTGGATAGTAAACAGCTATAGAAAGCCGTCCTAGCAAGTTCAGGTTGAGCAAATTCAGCAAGACCAATAAGGCAGGGGGGTGGGATGGAGAGTGGCTGGTTCTGGAGGGGGAGCCTAGGGGAGGGAGCTGTCACC